CAGGAAGTCAAGTTGGGAGGTTGAACCAGAGTGATGTCCCTCCAGGCCACCTGAGTTCCGGGTGGCAGGGAGCCCCGCCTGGCTGCTTAGAGATGCTTTCAACCTCTTCTTGAAGAGCAGTTGCTGCGCCCCTGCCAGATGCAGAGTGCTCCACTGTTCATCATGGACGGGGCTATGAGGCCGAGAGAAGTATGTTCCAGGTATCCTCAGAGAAGATAGGGAAGACCAGGTGTGTGAAACCCTAGATGGGTGAGGGGACTGGGAGGTGGAGCTGAGAGGAGGGGGCTCCACAGGCCTCTGATTCACTTACAAGTATGTCTATTGGTAGCTGAGCAGTGAAGCTCTCGGTGCTGGCTAAACTAGTGGCACGGTAAAGGTAGGAGACTATAAATGTTGTTTTAAGACACTTATAATGAAAAAAAACACTTGAATTTGAAATTAACAGATCTCAATATTACATTTACTATTACATCAGAATAGTTAAATTTCTTTATTGTTGTTTATCCTCACCAAAGGATATTTTTCCATTGATTTTTTTAGAGAGAGAGGAAGAGAGGGAAGACTGAGAGAAACATCAATGTGAGAGAAACACATCGATTGGTTGCCTCTTGCAATTAAGGTACATGGAACTGAACCTGATACCTTTTGTTTCTGTAGGGCAAGGCTTTATCCACTGAGCTAAACTCGCTAGGGAAGAACAGTTAAATTTTTAAAGTTTAATTCAGCTTCATAAGTTTTGAATGCTTGTGAAAAGAAAAAGGTTTAAAAATCACTTATTTGTGGGGGGTTTCTCATTGGTGGCAATATTAAAAAAATTTAAAAAATATATTTTATTGATTTTTTACAGAGAGGAAGGGAGAGAAATAAGAGTGAGAAACATCGACCAGCTGCCTCCTGCACATCCCCCATTGGGGATGTGCCTGAAACCAAGGCACATGCCTCTGAGCGGAATCGAACCTGGACCCCCTAGTCTGAAGACCAACCCACTATCCACTGAGCCAAACCAGTTTCGGCAATATTAAAATTTTTAAGAGGTTATCAGTTAAAACATGACAAGATTTTATTTGAAAGTTCTATACAAATTCATGATTCCCAAATCTTCATTTTATTCTTATCAATTATAGAATAAAAAAAATGACCCTGGCTAGTATGGCTTAGTTGGTTGGAGTGCTATCCTGGTACACGGAAAGGTCATGTTTGATTCCTGGTTATGGCACATACCCATGTTGTGGGATCGATTCCCAGTCAGGGTGCCTATGAAAGCACCCAATCTCTCCCTTCTCTCTCTCTAAAATAAATAAAAACTAACAAAAAAGACATATCCTCAGGTGAGGATTAAAAAAATGATTATTTTTTGCTCCAATTCCTTCCAGTTTATACCAGTTTTGCTGTACAGTATTTTCTAATTGTGTCAGGACATGAAAAGGTTGGGAAACCTTGATATAGGCAACGTAGGGGAGTTACTGGGTTTTCATACCTTCCAGTGTTAACTCCATTAGAACCATTTTATATACTTGGGAGGTGGCTTCGTAGAAATTCATGCTATAGGCCCCCAGCAATTCAGGGTTTGAAACAGTGTGTTCAACCATAAGCACACTATCTTTCCAAGCCCGGCTCCACTGAATCCCTAACTTCCTTAATTCCTAGGGTTGTGGTGGAAGTGTGAATGTAATTTTCAATATGTAAACTTCATAGTAAGCTATGTTTTGAGAGTATTTTAATACGTTTGTTCAAAGATATCTTTAAGCTTTTGGCTAACAAGGGTTGAAACTTTGGATGAAGAATCAGAGTTTTAGATAACCAAGTCCAATCCCTCATTTCACAGATGAGGAAACTAAAGCTCAAGGAAGAGTCAAGGCTCAAGTAGCATTAGAGTCAGAGCTTAGAGTAGTTTTGTGCCTCACTATACCAACCTACACTTGTATATTACTCACATGTAAATAGGCTTTCCTTTTTTATACATTTTGAGTACTATTTGGTTCTTTAAATACATAAACATGGTGGTTTATGTGGAGGTCCCCCTGGGAATGCACATGGATATTCTTTAAATTGTTGTCAGCTGAGTCCGAGGTGACTGGCCTGGCAGTTCCCCGGAAAAGGCCTCTCCCCAAATGGTGGAGACTCACCAGTACTGACTTCTTATCTTTACCCACGTGCTGGGAGGAAGGGAGTGAATAGGACCTGGGCACACCCAGGCCTTCCTTAATATGTTAAATCCAGTCCTAATACGGGGAGTGAGGGAATGACTAGGACCTGGGCACACCCAAAACTCCTTTGATCCTAAGCTTTTCAGGGAAACCCCCTTTCTTCTTTTGGAAATAAAATAAATGTGCTGCATGGCTCAGGTCGTCCTCTCTCTCCACAGAAAGGGCAGTGACCCACCTGGGACCCAGCTTTGAATCTATTTCTCTTTATTTCATATATTTCTCAATCCCCGGCTGCCTCTTACAAGAACCTGTTTCATCTCTCCTCCGGCGCTGGATGCGGAGAAGGGAGATCCCTGCCAACTCAGGCCCCACAATTTATTCAGAGGAGTTAAACGTGTCTAACAAGGACGCAGCAGTATGACGACGGTTCCAAAGTGAGGCAGTGCCTAGAAAAAACTGTATCTGGAATGAGTAAGGATGGAAGGAAAAGAGCCATTTTCTTCATCAATGATAGCTGTTTGCCTCAACATCCAAGAATGAAGACTGCAAAGCCAAACTAAAGCAATATATAGGTTTATAAACTATATATTTAATACTGGCATAATGAAGTAAGTCGCTTTTTTGTGTGCTAACCAGTCTATTGTTTGCTTTTAAGTTTATATATAGCCACGGTGAGGTAAAATTTTAAATTCTTCCCAACTATTCAGATTAAAATTCATGATATATTCTGCCGAAACCGGTTTGGCTCAGTGGTAGAGCGTTGGTCTGCGGACTGAAGGGTCCCGGGTTGGATTCCGGTCAAGGGCATGTACCTTGGTTGCGGGCACATCCCCGGTAGGGGGTGTGCAGGAGGCAGCTGGTCGATGTTTCTCTCTCATCGACGTTTCTAGCTCTCTATCTCTCTTCTCTCTCTTCCTCTCTGTAAAAATTCAAGAAAATATATTTTAAAAAAAATTCATGATATATTCTCAAATTTGAACTTCACTGCTCAGATTATAATAGGAGCTAACATATAATTATACACAATATAATTAGTATTGCAGTTTTTTAATACTAAAAGTTTTCATGCTTCATAAACAAGCTATATATCAACGACCACTTTTTAATGCTTTATTCATTGATTAAAAGAATATACATTTAACATAAACCATATAACATCAGTCATCAGGTCAAACATTCAGCTGGTTTCCTTACAGTTTCTGTCAGGAGTTATTTTATCTGGTCACATTTATAAGATAAAATCTCACCACATCTGGCATTTACACACACTGTGCCAGTGGATTCACACTACTGATGTACATATAAAATCCGCAGGGTATGTGCCCACTGGAGACAAAACAGTGCACACCTGTCAAAAGGTCATTTTAATATAAGATGGTAAAACCATTTGTAAAACACATATAAACTTTTTCCATAAATAGAATCATATCTGGACATCTGTTGCATAAATTGTGTTTCCAAAGCTTACAATAGAGCAGCCAGGTCTCAGCACTGCTGGGCACCCATGTTGGCTACTTTATTATTGCAGACTGTCCTTTAACATTAAATGCACAACATTCGTACCACTTAAAACTGGGGTCAGGTGGAAGTCTCACAGAGACCACGTCTGTACCGCGGTTGCCCTGAAACAGTTAAGTCGGCTTTTAAAGCCTCTCAGATATAACAAGGTTTTAAAACATACTTCATGGAATGTTCTTCATGTATTATAGCAGCTCATACCTGTGATAGAACAAGTTTTCAGTTTTTCCTCTTCCTTTACATTCACTATTCACAGTGAAACAGGTGCATGTTTTTTTATTTTTTTATTTTTTTGTGTTTTGTTTTTCAGAGTTCTGAGGTTGCTGACTGAGCCACAGCACAGCTGTGTACCATAGGTCGAAATTCGACCTTAAATATTACAATCTAGCAGAATCTGGCTGGCCAGAGTGGGCCGGCCCCTGCCAGCATGTGGGCACTTCTTCAGTTAAGTCTATTCTTTGGCAGCTGACACGCGCGCTGACAGAGAAAAATCCAGTGACTTGTTGATAGGGATTTCACGACTAATGTTTGCTTGCAAGCATGGGTGTTTACAATTCTGTTTTTTATTTTCTTTTAGGTGTTACCTGAAATATAGTTTCTTTCTTCCTCTACTACTTGAAATCTGGGCTTAAAAGCTAACTTGAGTGTGTAATATAATTGATTAATAAAATCATGTCAGATATAGTTTCTAAAAATCTAACAATTTGAGTACTTGTTTACGTAAATGCATTTTAAAAAAAGGGTTAAGCAAGATTCTAACCTAGTATTATACAAAATTCAGAGTGGTAATTGGTGATAATCAATTTTATATATGTAATGAAAGTTAAAATCTTGGCTTTTCTGTTAAAGATAACTCATTTGGGACATTATCCTCCCTTTCATTTCAAATAAGAATTAATGAAATGCTATTAGAATGCGTGAATGCAGTATATTGCATACAAATCCACCAGGCTATGGGTACGTATCTATATATGTATAAAAATATTTTGGCTCCCGAGTTCAGCTCTGACACACAAAGAATAAAATAATCAAAGGCAGAGTAACTCAGTGAAAAATAAAGTTAGCCAGCAACCTCAGACAACCTTCGGTTGTGTATCTTTAAGGTTTGGTAACAAGTCTATTAACCGTGAAAGCCCTACACATTGTCACTTTGAACTTCTAATCCAATACCCGACTACGTTCTTTGATCAAGAAGTAGAATATACATATATAATTCTATGAAGCTAATACTGATTAAACACAGCACAAAGGGATTAATTCACACTACTGAAAAAAAACACATAATAGGACCCTACTTGCATATGTAACCACAGGAATTGTACATTTTAAAAAAAGCTAAATGTCTTCACTAAAGCTTTGCATCTCTCTATAAAAATGACGATTTGGTTCAGTGAAGACACCGAGTGATTCGATGTCCATGACTGCGTGCCAAGGTTGACCCAGGCCCAGGGATACCTGCTCAATAAGGTTATGCACTGGATCCACATCCTGGTCGGCCAGTTCACCTTGGTCAAAATCAATGCTTTCTTCAGTGACTTCAAGTACTTTTAGATTAGAGCCACGAAGACGAGCAATGGCAATGAGGTTGTGTGCCCACACTGTGTAACCTTAAAAAAACAAAACAAAAAAAAAAGCAAAACACAAGCACTATAATTTCCTTGCATTTTATTTTGTCTATATGATAAGTTAATCTTCTCCACAAATTAGTATCACAATGACAACTTTGGTCCTTTTCCTTTAAAAAATATTACAGATATTTGAGAAGGAAGTATGATTGTTTAGCAAGGAAAAAGAGAGAGAGAGAGAGAGAGAGAGAGAGAGAGAGAGACAGACAGACAGACAGACAGACACACTAAGTTTTATATTGTCTCCAAGAATTTACTGTGGGTGGTGAAATGGAAGGTGCTATAATCCTATTCTGATACCACATTTAGTAAAATCATAGATGTTTAAAATTTTTAACTAGATAATGATGTAGCATAAAGAAATTTTTTTAAACTTCATATATATGTTGCCCATTAATAACACATAATTAACTGGTGTTTTCATTAGTGAAAATGATAGTCCAAAGTTATGAAATGACACTTTAAACATAAATTGTTAATTGTCAATAGCAAATGTGGAAAGTGTGCGGAACAGTCATGGGAATGATATACACTAACTTCAGAATAATTACCTCCGGGAAGGAATAAAATGGGAATGGATGGGGGGCTTTAACTATATCCAACATCTTATTTATTAAAAGAAGGAAAAAAAGGCTTTAAAAAGAGGTTAAATTAACTTTGAATAACCTAACATTTCTTTATCCCATACAAATCCTCATTTTATTTTTTACCTTCAACACTGGTCTATTCTTTGCTACTATTTCTGCTGGCTAACCAAATTACAAAACAAAACTTGAAAAGCAAGACACAAATGTTGCTGAAAAGAAAAGAAACAGAGGTAATAAAGGTAGTGTAAGATGTTTGCAGAGACTTCCTAATTTGTATCCTGTAAATGTCTTATATCAAAAAGGAAATAAAATGTTTTTCTAATTTATCAGAATGAAACTCTCCAAATGAGAACAGTTTACATTAAGATGAAAGATTCCAGTATAAAATAAAAATATGCCCAATCAGTGGAACTACCAAATAAAAAACAAAGTGATATAAATTAATATGGTAATCCCTAGAATCTATTATAGGAGATGGGGCAATGGGAATGAAAAAAAAAATCATACTTTCTCTTCCTTCCATGTTATCTTTTTAAGAGATCTATGATTAGAGGAAATATTTTTACTGTTAGTTAATATGTATGTTTTCTTAGATAAAATGATTTCAGATACCATTTTTATGAAATGCCATTAATCACATGATGGAAGAAAAAGTATAGGAAACTTGGATAAGAATCCTTAGGGTAGAATTGTGACTTCCTACTTCTAAGTGATATAATTTAAAAACTTTAAAGTATGAAAATCTGCATATCAATTTGTTATAAGATTTCTTAACACTAAATGCCAATGTTATTTTTCATAGCATAAAACATTTCAAATGTAATATTGGTATCAAATGAATCAAAAATCACCTACCATGAATTGCCAGAAGAGAGAGCTTTGTGCACCTCCATGCTAATAACACCAATGGATCTTCGTTTCGATTATCACTAAGATCTGGAAAACCAGACGTATCAATCACATCATTCATTAATATGAAATGAGTGAGGAACTTGTCATACTGCCTAGATATAAGATCAACAATAGCTCCCGAAACACAAGTGATGTAGCTGTCAAAATGAATCCTCTCTAGTGGTATACTGGGTTTCAGAATCTTTAACATATCATCACTCTTAATATCAAAAGCCATTATATAGACCCGGAGGCTGGGGCTCCTACGTGACAAGGCTTTCCAGTGCTCATCATTTGGCATGTTGTCCAGAGACTTGTGCATCACAGAAACATTGTGGGCCAGGAGAGACAGTCGCTGCAAAGGCACATGGTTGCTATCACTCAAGACTCTTGCCATCTCAGCTGTAAAGTCGCAGAAATCCAGGGCAAGTGAGCGCAGATTCACAAATCGCTCTAGTTCCACTGTAGTGATAAGGGTGCTGTTACCAGGAATATTGTTGTCCAGTAAACTCAGGTGCTCCATGGTGTTGGCAATAGAGTTTGAGAGAGATGACAGTGATGTTGGGGTTACTATTTCCAGCATAAACCCACAGGACAGCCATTTCAGTTGCCTACTATTACTCAGGATTTCTTCAAACAGCTGCTGAATCCTGTAAGAAAAGCACATGCCATAAAGATCCTGTTAACATTTGGCACTAATCTTTTAAGTCTTTTTTTTTTTTTTTTTTTTAAATAGGCAATGAAATAGCATGCAATTTTGAGATCCATTTTCTCTCAGTTAATTTCTATGCGACTCACAAGTATTGTCATAAATGCCATTAAAAATGTAAGGAATAAGATGTAGTAAACATATAGAAATATGCTCAAGAAAAGCAGCATTTTATTTCAGTATAGCAGAAAAGACTGATGACATACAATTTGTGTTATAGCAAAAGCAAGCAGAGAAATAAATTTCATAAAGCAATAATTACCCAGAAAATCCCTTGATTTGTCTTAAAACTTATGACATGAAATGGCATATAATGGATACTGTATTTCATAGTTAAAACATTTCCAGGATATATGTTCTTTTAAGAGAAATAATCATTACTCTTTTGATTGTATCATACCTTACAATTTCTCAGAAAAACTAAAATTATTATTAAATAAGCCCCTTTCTACTAACTAAATAACTTACTGCTTGATTTTTTTGCCATCAGGGTCCACTTTGCTGAGGTATGTATTTGACAAATTTCCTTGCTGTTGTAGAACACTTATGTCTCCAAAAAGGCTAAACTTCTGGAGGTTCCTATAAGGAAAATAATTTAAAATAATAGTCTAAATGATTTATATAAATATATAAATATTAAAAATTCTCAGAAGGGTTATTCTAGGAAAGTTTCTAGCTTATTACTCACTTAGAATCCAATTAAGGACTTTCAGATTGTTTTGTACACACAATGAAAAGAAATGTGATACAGAAGAAACAGCATGAGCTCTCAAGAATGAGTACTGGGGTATAACATCAGTTCAGGAACTCAATATTTTAATGACCATCGAAAAGTCTCTTAATTTCCCTGAGATTCAATTATTTATCAGTAATAATAATACCTACCTTAAAAGGTTTAAGGATAGGTGAATAAATATTAAAAATAACATATCAAAGAACTGTACGATGCCGAAACCGGTTTGGCTCAGTGGTAGAGCGTCGGTCTGCAGACTGAAAGGTCCCGGGTTCGATTCTGGTCAAGGGCATGTACATTGGTTGCGGGCGCATCCCCAGTAGGAGGTGTGCAGGAGGCAGCTGGTCGATGTTTCTCTCTCATCGACGTTTATAGCTCTCTATCCCTCTCTCCTCCTCTCTGTAAAAAATCAATAAAATATATTAAAAAAACCCAACAAAAACTGTACGAGCTCTAAGTTTTATATAGATGTTAATTATAAAAATTTCCCAAACCAGTTAACTTAATCAGTGTCTTAAATTCTCAGGGGTGGGGCACTGCTATCTTCTCAGTAAGAATATTCTTTGAATAAAATCTAGAGAACCTCTCCCCAATTTTATGATCTAAAGTATAGCTGATGATCAAAAGAGATAAAAACTATTTAAAAATCAGTTTTAGATAATTTTAGCTAAAAAACATGTACATTTCTAGTGGTAAGATTTTAAAGTAGGAAAAAAACTAAAAACTGGATATAGATAAAAAAGCTTAAATGCCAACAATAAGCAACTAGAGATTCCACTTATAACACAAAACTTAGAGACTTATATGCATGTATATTAGCATAACCAATGGACACAGACATGGGCGGTGGTGGCTTGCCTGGGATGGGGATGGCTGTGGGATGGGGAAAGGGGAGTGTCAATCAGGGAAAAAGGAGACATATGTAAAACTTTACACAATATATTTTAAAAAGATTAAAAAAAAAAAAACTTAGGATAACTTTTAATAAGAAATTTGATAGTATGTCCCATTTTCCCAATCAAATAACCTTAGTTTGATTAAAAAGCCTGATGAGCTGAAACCGGTTTGGCTCAGTGGATAGAGCGTCGGTCTGCGCACTGAAAGGTCCCGGGTTCGATTCCAGTCAAGGGCATGTACCTTGGTTGCGGGCACATCCCCAGTAAGGGGTGTGCAAGAGGCAGCTAATCGATGTTTCTAACTCTCTATCCCTCTCTCTTCCTCTCTGTAAAAAATTAATAAAATATATTTAAAAAAATATATATTTAACAAACATATGGTGTCACATATCTGGATATATCTGATATTGTGTAAGTCAGAGAAGGCTTCTCTAAATAAATTGATTAAAAGGGAATCTTAGGGATACTTGGTAGTTAACCAAGAGAAGGGCAAGGAAAGGTGTTACAAGAAAAAAGCATGTATGGAACCCCTCAAGTTAAGGGTAGCAGAGTGAGCTTTAGGTACTGAAAGCAATACAGAGTAGAGAGTGAACATGAAATGAACCCGTAGAGATAAATAAAGTTCTATGTCAAATAAACATTCTGGTTTTTGTCTTCAAAACAATGATGCCCCAAAATGACTTTAAGCAGGGAATAGCATGATTAAATTTGTGTTTGTAAAATATTACTGCAGTGTTAGAACAACTTGTAAGGAGGTAGAGTCAAAGTGGGGAGACTAGTTAACAGAATGTTTTAGTAATAGAGATGACAGATAATGATAGCTTGAATTGGGTTTTTGGTGGTAGAGGTGAAGAAAATGGACAGTCTCAGAGCTATATTTAGGAACTAAATTGGATAGAAAGTGGTGCTGGATTATCTATTGGAGGTGACAGACAGAGTAGTCAAGAATAACTTGTAAATTTTCTGGGTTATGGAACTACATAGATAGTAGAGCTTTTCACTGACACTGGGATTCTTAGAAAATGAATCAGAAATTAGTTGTTTTTTTTTTTTGGGTTGGGGGGCTAGAGGATAGAGGTGAAGTGTTAGAATATTTAGATTATATAACTATTTTGTATTTGTTTAGCTTGAGGTTCTTTAACAGGGTCAAGTTAAGATGTCAAATAGGCAATTCTAGGTCTGGAGCCAAGCAGTTATCTGAATGATAACTGAAGTCAAGAATGGGGCTGAAACCGGTTTGGCTCAGTGGTAGAGCGTCGGTCTGCAGACTGAAAGGTCCCAGGTTCGATTCCGGTCACGGGTATGTATGTTGGTTGCGGGCACATCCCCAGTAGGTGGTATGCAAGAGGCAGCTGGTCGATGTTTCTCTCTCATCAACGTTTCTAGCTCTCTCTCTTCCTCTCTGTAAAAAATCAATAAAATATATATTTAAAAAAAGGGAACAGTGGAGCTTAATTAGGGTAAGAGTATAAATGGAGATGAAAAGCAAGTAAAAATTTGTTGTGAGGAACTTCAATAATTAAACTAGAATAGGATGAGCCTGCAAAGGTGAGGTGAGAAGTTGGAGAAAAGTCAGGAGTGTGGAAATCACAGAGGCCAATGGATGACTCTATTACAAAGAATAGTGATCGAAACTAAGATGGCGGCATAAGGTATACACGTATACATGCTGCCTCTCACAACCACACCAAAACTATAAAAGACAAAAGGACTATCACACAGAACCACAGCAAAGCTGGTTGAGTGGAAGTTTTACAACTAGAAGGAAAGAAAAAAGTTCACTGAGACTGTGTAGGATGTGCAGAGCCACGAAAAAGCAGAGGTACGGAGGTGCGTGTGGAGAGAGCTGGCAACTGAGGACGTGGTTGTCTTTTTCAGGGGAGACATAAGCTAGTGACTGCTCTGAACTCGTTTCTGGCAAGACCCAGACTCATACAGGGAGAAGTGGGACTGTCTGCCATCGGGTTGGAAACTGAGGGTGGCTTTCTCATAGTGGTGCACGCAGCAATCATTGTTTTTTGTTTTTTTTTTCATTTTAATATATTTTATTGATTTTTTTACAGAGAAAACGTCGATGAGAGAGAAACATCGACCAGCTGCCTCTTGCACACCCCCTACCGGCCTGCAACCAATGTACATGCCCTTGACCGGAATCAAACCTGGGACCTTTCAGTCCGCAGAGCAACGCTCTACCACTGAGCCAAACCGGTTTCGGCAGCAATCATTGTTTACTGCACTGGGGCATGGGACACTAGGACATGGAAACAGAGAGAGACAGAGAGGGCTGACTGGCAGCCATAGCTGATTGCCAAGCCCTACTAATTCTCTGAGACCCTGCCCTGCCCAATTTATAAACCCACTGGAGCTGTGTGTAGTGGCTTTTGCATATGCATGGCTTGCCCTTTTGCAGTTTAACCTAAGAAATTTGCACTGGGTCAAACAGCTCCAAAACTTCCAAACCCCAAACAAAGAGGAGAAATTTGCAGATCTTGCTGTAGTTCCTGCTGGGAGGCCTACGGCAGTAGCTGACCTCACCTCCTTGAAGATCCAGGAGCCAGTGTACCTAGTGGTCAGTGTGAGACAAACACCAGATTTCAACTCTTCTCATCCAAAAGTGATACACTCAAGAGGCAGACTTCAGTGAACACCAAAGCCCCACTGAGGCAAGTCCTGCCCCATAAGGGTGTCTCCAGCACAGCAGTTCTTCCATTAAAGACACAGTTGATCCTCACAGCCAATTGGCCTAGAGGTCAATTCCTCCCAGTGTACCATTAGCAATCAAGGCTTAACTACAACAAGATTGTGCACTCAGCCCACAAAGGGATGCACCAAGAGTGTCCAACTCAGGTGATTGGGGAGGCTGAGGCACTGGGCCCTATAGGTCACCTACCACACAAAGCCACTCCATCAACACAGGGAGGCAGCCAAAATGTGGAGACAGAAACGTGTCACGAATGAAAGAAACGGAGGAAAACAAACTACTGGATATAGAGTTCAAAACCACATTTATATGGTTACTCAAGAATCTTCTAGAAACTGCCGAGAAATTTGGTGAGACCTCTGAAGAACTTAATGAGACCTTTAAGGACCTTAATGAGAATGCCAAAAAAATGGAAAAGGACCAGTCAGAAATTAAGCATATACTGTCTGAAATAAAGAATAATATAAGAAATCCAACACTAGACTAGAGGACCCCAAGAATGAAACCAAAGATTTGAAATATGAGGAAAAACACCCAACCAGAAAAACAAAAAGAAAAAGGAATAAAAAAATATGAAGATAGTGTAAGGAGCCTCTGGGACAACTTCAAGCATACCAAAATCAGAATTATGGGGGTGCCAGAAGAAGAGAGAGAGCAAGATATTGAAAACCTATTTGAAGAAATAATGACTGAAAACTTCCCCCACCTGGTGAAAGAAAAAGACTTACAAGTCCAGAAAGCACAGAGAACCCCAAACAAAAGGAATCCAAAGAGGACCACACCAAGATACATCATAATGAAAATGTCAAGAGCAAAAGACAAAGAGAGAATCTTGAAAGCTGCAAGAGAAAAAGTTAGTTACCTACAAGGGAGCACCCATACTATTGTCATTGAGACTATCAGCTGATTTCTCAACAGAAACTATGCAGGCCAGAAGGGAGTGGCAAGAAATATTCAAAGTGATGAATAGCAAGAACCTATTATACAAATAAGATTACTCTACCCACAAAGCTATCATTCAGAACTGAAGGTCAGATAAAGAGCTTCACAGACAAGAAAAAGCTAAAGAAATTCATCACTGTCAACCCAGTATTATATGAAATGCTGAAGAGTATTCTTTAAGAGGAAAAAGAAAAAAAAAAAGGTAAAGATAAAAATTATGAACAAAGCGACAACAAATACATATCAATCAACAAGTGAATCTAAAAATCAAGTGAATAAAAATCTGATGAACAGAATAAATTGATGA